CGGTACACTTTGTTAACGGCGCGGAGTTTAGCAGTAATCAAATGGTCTGAGGGCTACTATACCCGCCGCCAGATAGACTCTCTTCAAGATAGAATTTCTCGTTTTGCTGAGAAGTCCAGCAAGGCTGATATCAGCAAATCAAATGAATAGCCCATTTTGATCAAGTACGGAGCTATATTGATCTAATGACATAGGAACATGGTACTAAGCCAATTTAAATACCAGATGCGATGAAGCCTGTCGAGGCATGCACTGCCTGACTAAATAAGCTGGAGCAAATCGGCCCGAGACCGTGGCTTTTCCTCTTCTTCAAAGAATACTTTTCACTAAGCGATTAAGCATTCTGTCTGACATTCTATTTGTAAAAGGTCAACGATCGGCATATCTGTACTTGATGTCCAATGCCTTGAACAAACTATGTTATAAAGTGATGATCACAATCCAAAATATTGACAAACGGCAGGCCATGCTGGCAAGAAACTTTGTCAATGAGAATCTTGACTGTATCCTCATCGGTAATGATGTTACTAACTACAGCAAGTTTGGTCATTTCGCTAGACGACGAAAATTCGGCGTTCTCAGGAAATTAAAAATAAGTCCATCGTAATGACCTGATGGCATATTTGCTAAACTCGGTAGGCTGGCCGGCGGATCGACGCATGCGGTGAGTATTTAATCTGTTAATACGTTTTACACGTGCAAACCTTGCTGTTTCCCAACTTTTACAAGTCAGTACATAGCTCACTGAGCGGTATACATTTTCTCCATCGAGGTGGCCACTCAAGGGGGGGCATGTGCTTAGTAAAGTATTCTGCATATGAGGTCATCATCAGAAGGTGCCACCACTCCATGATTCTTGAGTGGGTTAGAAGTGTAATGCAGCAAGCCTTGAGATAAGAAATATCGGTGCACACATGACACCGACCACTTCGATAAAGCGATATCCGATTTTAAGATCTTCTTGCTTTCCAATACTTTTGGCTGATTGGCTGGAAAATTGCATGCTAAATCTGGCCCATACGCTTTATGTATCATATCCCGATGCGTGACGTCTGTGATGCTCCATAGGTGTAAGCCAAATCGGCACAACGCCCTTTGCGCCGCCACATCAAGTCGATCCGGCTTGTATCTCACTGAAATATACGTAGGATAACCTACTTTTCATTCTTCGAGAGAGATAAGACGACGACATCGCTGTGTGCAACAACGCATGATCTATATAGTCTACAAACGGCTCAAAAGCTAAGCAGATGCACCTTGAGCATAATGAGGGTATTTTCTCTACAAGTCGCTTTATGTTTTGAACAGAGGAGGTTTTTCAGCAGCATTAAGCTGCCGAGATATACAAACATAATTATGATTTTGTCCCCATAGACATCTGCTTGAAGTAATGCACAGCCAATAACAAATTTTGAAGAATCACAGACGATAAATTGTGGCTGATCTAGATCTAGGATAGCCAGAATCGAGGTAAGCAAATCTCTATCACAATCTTGAAACCTGATTCATCTGTCGCAACCCATAGCCATTGAGCAATTCTCATCCACTGCACTGAGTACCACGAGCAGGATACTCTGTGAGCGGCTATTTAGTTTACAGGGAGTCTCTAACGCACAAGCGACGGTCGACCTTCTCATCTTTAGTATGAAGATTGGTAAGAGATAGTGTAATGCCGGCATGATTTGCGCTATACTTGTGCAAGTTGCCGGCCAGGCCAAGTCGCTTCTTCAATTTCTGTTAGACATAGGCACTAGTCAATTTGAATTGGCCATTATCTTTGTCGGACCTGCCACCAAGCCCGGCTTCCCAATGAAGTAGCCTAAAATGAAGGTCTCGTCAGCGCAAGATATATTGTTATGAATAATGGTGATAGCTTGTCCTAGCGCATACACTCAACAACTGTTTATCGTAGACTTCCGAAATCGATCCCAGTGCTTCGCGCGACACTAGACGAACATACCTTTGACATATGTTTGTGTATAGCCACAAATGCAGCGAAATATCTGGGTCACCTCAGCTAAAACATCCATCAACCAGACCAAATGCACTGAACAAAGCGCAGCTGAGCATGCTATTTTGCAGCACTAGCTCATTATACGCATGCACATGTCGCCCTTGCAGTTAGCCATTCTGACGCTGAAAAGCGTCACATAGTGGTAGACTTACTTTATCGCTAACCCCTCTTCGTACTTTGCACAATGAGAACCTACAATGACGTCACACTGGTTTTTTGGTACAGGCTATTGTCGTGGGATGAAAAATACGGCTCTGATAACCAAATCAAGTTCAGGTCGCATTCTCCTACCTTAGGTGCAACACGCGTGATGAGGTTGTTGTTGCCACAGGCTTTTGAGCTCTGCTTTTTGCACTAAGCAACCCGTGATATCCCTATAGCAGAAGATCGGAAGGATTGTAGAGAATTGATGCCCCGCTATCCATGATGAATAATGATGTGAACTTCTTCTCCGGTATTGACCGAATTATATTGGTGAATTCACCGTCCTTGCACGCAACCCCTCGGGATAATTTACTCACATTGTACACACAACTTTAGTCTTTTTGCCACTTGTTTGTGGGTTTCACTTCTCCGCACGGAGGGTCCATCACACGGTAGTGCTGATTCAGCAGTACCGTTACATCGTGACAAGAATGGATCATCTGCTTTAGATTCAAAGCCTAGCCTTCTATTCGAGACATCAAGCAATGTTTTTGTTTCGTCGGCTCTGGTACAGTAGATTTCAACATCCAGTCCTTTCCACTCTCTACCTCCCCTGGTACAGGAGACAACTGCTAACACTTAATATTAATAATTGTCAATTAGTAATTCTGAGCTGCTGTCTTCTGTAATATTATACACCGTACTGCCAGAGATACACTCCAAGAACCACAACATACATTCGTCCATTCCCGTCTCATAATATATACATTTTGGAGGCCGCGTTATCTACCTGTTCTTTTTCGTCTCGACCTAACACCTCTGCTCACCGTGGCTTCTGCCGACCGATCTCTGCCCGAGGTATTAAGGAATGTCATTAATGTCGACATAATTCTTGGAAAGTATTATGTTCTACACGGAAGTCATCGCTTCGCGAATGCGACAGAACCAAATTCGCTTCCAGGTAGGAGTTGGTTAATGACTCGCCTACGCTCGGCGAGAAAAGTAAATCAAGGAATCTAAATTTTTCGACTTTTCGTCTATCCATGGCTGGCAGTATTTTAGCCACGCCATGCATGGTTGTGTCTTGAATCTAGGTCCAGGACTCGACATCGATCTATGCTGTCAAAATTCTCTAATTTTGCTCGAAGGTTTTGTATATATATAAACCGACTGTCTCGGCGTACTGTTTGAAAGTTTCGGACGGTCACGCATCGTGCGTAATTGCACAAAGCTCTCGGAAGTATCCGAACGTACTAAGACTTCACAAAGCCCGGGGCGTAGGTATCAACAGCCAAAAATACTGGGCTATAAGCTGCACCTCTATCAAAGAGAGTTGCGTCGTCTTGGGCTGAGTCTCATTGACCTCAAACTTTTTGAGGTATCAAGGAGCATGATTCTTTGCCAATACAACTACAACACGTCGTGCTCTCCGTTATGCGAGGGTCTTGACGCCTGCCGCTTACCATTTCTAGCATTCCATACTGCCCTCGCAACCCTAACGTTTTACGCTGTATTGAATGTGATGCTCACCGCTTTCTCGATGGAGGAAGGGTGGACGCGGGAGGTCTTGGTGCAAGCCGAACCCGTTCTGACACCACCCATGAAGATGGTCACCGTTGCCAACTCTAGAAGAAAGTCAGACTCAATTGCAGCGATCAAAATCCCAGCATGACGCGCTGTCATTTCGTTTGGTGTAAGGCCGAATAATGATCTCAGGTTTTCTCATCCAGAGTTACGGTTGTACTCAAAGGCCGTCATTAGCGGCCTCACAGTAGCAGACAATTTTTTCCTCACAGGCACTCGGTTGGTACGCTCGTGATCGTGCTTCACCAGCGTATTCATAGGGCTAGCGAGCGCTAACCGCCAGCTCCCTGATGTTGAGCTTTTGGGGGGAACAGGGAATCGAGCATTTCGCGTTCCATTTTTGCAGCGAGAGCAATCTCTCTACTAGTCGAATCGTGTGTTTGCTTCCAAGTACAACGAGGTTGCTGTGCACTATGCACAGATGAAATATTGAGTCGCAGAGATTGCGCAAACAACCGCATAATTAACATAAAATTGTCTTTATTATTTAGCGTGTAGCTAGCAGCACACATGTACCATAGGCCTCTCCTTACCGAGTCCCATCATCATCGTGAGACCAACTTTCCGCACAGTTGTACTCAATATATAACACGATTGCATACAAATGCCTAGTATTAAGCACACAGGACTACAATTCTAGCTCCGCTGCATGTGAAGTACAATAATAGCCTTAAGAGTAATTACAAGCGAGTTCTCTCAATTTGTTCGACCCGCTACGCTATCAACTTACAAGTCTACAAAATATAAAGATTCAGAACATTCCAGGTTATTTATTTTCCACGTATATTGTTAAAAATTTTCATGTGTAGACTAGTATTAAGGATTCATTAATATTTTTGTCAACAAATTACGAAGATGAGAGAGCAGACTGTTTTGTGTGGTCATTTCCAGTATGAAACTCCAAAAGTGCACGTGGTTACACGGGATATGTCTTGCGGTGGCGGCGATCTCACTGTGTGTCGCAATCGGTGCGAGCATGCTGACAATCATCGCAACATCATGCTTAGCGGGATACCTTCCTTCGTATTTTGACGGCTCAGAGCTTACGGGAAAGCGCGCTTGGCCATGGTTCGCCACCTTCATAGGGCATAGTATGGCGCACATTCCAGCGACTCTAGAGTTTGAAGAGTCCATTGACGCGTCTAAGCAGTACATATTTTGTTCGCACCCGCACGGATTGTTGTCGACTCACCATGGGCTTCTTTTGTCAGGGCAGACCGTTCCACGTGCGTAATAAACTGTGATGTAATTTAAGGTCGAGTAGCATTGATTAAGTGTGTGTGTTGTAGCATTCAATGCGATGATACCGTTATCTACGCGGCGCCACTTGGCTGCGTCAGTTTGTTTTAGAGTGCCATTTTACCGTGAATATTTGCTTTGGTCTGGTTGTGTCGATGCGCGCCGTAGTGTGGCGGAGCAGGTATGTAGGAAGCCTTTGCTTTACAATATTACGTTACATAGCTAACATTGCGCACAGATGCTTCAAGATGGCAAGAGTCTTGTTATCATGGTTGGTGGCATTGCTGAGCAAATGTTGTCTCAGCGTGGAGACCACACGATCTACGTCAAGAAACGCAAGGGTCACATTCGTTTAGCGTTAAAATATGGCGTACCCATCGTCCCCGGATACGCATTTGGAGAGACGGACCTATTCACCCACTCGAGGTATGTTTACAAAGCAATTACCACTTCACAAGCTTCATTTAACTAAAATCGAATGTTTAGCCTGCTGCTGTCGTTCCGCCAATTCATTGCAAGAAAATTCTCAGTAGCGTTGCTACTCGGACATGGGTACTCGAAGTGGATGTTCTGGTTACCTCACAAAGGAGTAACAATCAATCACATCTTTGGCAAGCCAATCTCGGTCGAAAAGATAGATGACCCGAGTGCCAGTGACATCGAAAAGCTGCATGACCAATACACCTGCGAGCTCATACGAATTTTTGACGAAAATAAGGTCAAACACGGATACGGAGACTGCACGCTGCAAGTGCGCTAACTTTAAAAAGAGTTTTGAAAGTTTTGCGACAGTGAATCAGTTGTAGCAGCTACATAAAGTACACCCTTTCGCCTATCTTCCACCGTTTGCCTATGCCACGTATAAAATTCTTGTTTGGTCGCTCTCAAGGCGACGAAGATACTCTTTTTGAATGAGAATCTCCACGTTTTGCTTGATGGCAGAAGAAGTTGGAACAAACTGATGGACGAGCATCGCTGCTACCTCTTGGATCAGCTGCGTCTGGTCAATGTCACGACGCGTCTTGAGCACGCGCACGATTGCAGCCTGCAACGACATTTTCCGGTCCTCTTCCACCTCGCGTATTGGGGCTTTAAACTCTTTCGGGGACTCACCTGGGCTACTTGGCACCGCCTGATCATGATACTTAGAAAGAATGTATGTCATGAATTTACCAGTTGCTTGTATATACGCACCGAGACACGAAGTTTCCGGCTATAGAAATCAAAATTTAATGCCAACGACGGACTCACATTGTCACCATCTGACGTCAAAATTTTAGCCTGAAGACATTAATCAGATTTCAGATCTTTTAAGATCGAAGCATTTGCTAGGTTGTGATTACCAACCTTTACGAGGCTAGCCAGGTGATGAATGCAATCTTTTTCTGAAATATTCGTAAGCTGAACAATATCCGATAACTTCAACTTCGTCGCGGTATTAAACTGCAAACAAGAGCAAGGGTATGAAATGAAAAAACGGAATAAATCGCGTAATATCTAATTACCTGCAAGAGAATCACCATCTGAAAAAAGCTGAGCAAAAACTCGTAGCGCTTTTTAAAGCAGTGACTTTGGACCATTCCGAATGATAGATTGTGCACCCACAAAAGCTTTCGCCCAGTGCTTCGTTCAGTGTAGAATTGCGTAAACAAATTCGTATGTGCTCTCATGGAAGGTGGCAAATTTAGTTTGTGCTCGGAGGTTGCGCAAGATATTGGCCATGCTCCAGCTGTGAGGACATCACAGTGGTATACAATAGTGTGGTGAAAATTGATGGCAGAAGTATTCGCTGCACAATCTGAGCACAGTTCAATGCTTTTTCCGTCGAGCCATCCCGTAAATGAGTTTACCAATTCCTGAACAAAACATTGCTATAAGTGACTGCAACAAGCGAATATTATTCTGGTAAAGCAGATTGCAGACCTTGCTCAGCATCTTATCTTTCATCATCTTTTGCAATTTTGACACAAAATCGCATCCACAAATGTCGCGCAATTTTTGTATAAGTAAGATTTCCATTTCATTTGAGGCTGACGTTCCTGCATATAAAATCGAACGTTCAGCTTCTCAGCAAAGTAAAGTAATGCATAGTGAGAAGTATACGCACCTTTAATTAGGCGTTTAGCAAGAAACTTGGAGTAGTATTTCTTAAAAATATCCTTATCGTCGATAAGGCAGAACACCACACTGATATTTTCGATTCGTTGCTCCAACATGTCATCCGAAAGAGGAGTTGACACAGATCTAGTGGATCCTGGTAATATCAATGCACGACTACATCCATATTTCTTGTCACGTGACATCAGGTAGTGTGTGTATTTAGCTAGTAATTCTGGAAGCCGCGGATGAGAATTTGCAAACGCCCGACAAGCCTTAATATGTAAGAGACAAGAAAAGAAATATCAATTGTGGGATGACATCATCAGATAAAATATGCAAACCTGATCAAGTGCTGTTCGCATCAGCGGATGATATCCAAAAGCGTCTTTGATAAGCTCAAAGTACTTATTGCGAATCTGCACCAAGGCTTCAATGTACCCCTCAGGATTCTTTGTGGTTTCATCCTGTTGAAATGTTTGTACAACTTCTCTTCCACTTCGCTCAATATATTTCTTCAATATATTCTATGCGAAGGAAGGTGAAAATCAATGATTGAGAAATTGGCAAACAGTTAAAACAGTTTTTCGTGTCACCTTTAAGGATATTAGCGCTCTTTCAGTCACCAGCTCAGAAAATAAGGCGAACATTCGGTGTAAATCATTTTTTTGGTTATTGATCAAGAAAGTTTCGGCGTCTTCACAAATCCGATCAGCATGCTCATCAATCAAGACGCGGCAACAAGCTTGTCGAACTTGAATGACAGTGCTGTGGTGAACGTTATACGACCAATTCAGCCAGGGTTAAGCATCTGTGTGATTATTGACTTTAGAATCAAGCATGACTTACGTTCGATGCAAGCGTAAATCACAACGATTCTGCTCTTGTGTACACAAAAGCTCAGTTTCCTGTAAATACTCCGAGATCGTCATTCTTGACAGCAACTCGAGCGCTTTAGCTGTATAGAATTCAGCAACATTCTGCAATGCATACTCAAGTCAAAATGAAACAATTTTTGCTCGCATGATGCTTCGAGTTCTTACCTCAAGAAAAGGCAATTCAAGCTCTTCGCGATAAAGGCTCAATTGGTCCTGTTTACAAAGTCCAAGACTATAGTATGTCTACAAAAGCACTTTGTGTCACAAAAAATAATTTTACTAGTTAAATTCACGATTACCTGAACTGTACTAGCGATGCAGTCTCCATATTCGAAGCAATCACTTTTATCGAGTCTTGCAGAATGGTATATATGAAGAATTGCTGTAATCAAGCGTTTCCTTAACTTTACAAAAGCAACGTCGTGCCAAATATGGAGAGAAAGCTATACAAGACTTGAGGTTAGTTTAGTGAATTGTGTCGTCATTCAGTTCTTTGTGCATACTTCCGTGACAGGATACACTCCAGGAACTGGAGCTTGGCCAGTTTTACAATGCGAATACGAGATCCAGTAGCGATTCTGTACCATCATATCAATTAAAATAGTCGAAGAAAAAGCCAACTAGCAGAATAAAGTGGCAACCAGGTAGCGGAATAGCTCAGAAATGTAGCTTGTCCCGGTAGTAAATGCTTCGAAAGAAGTACAGTAAAGGGCCAGGAACTCGGGGTCGCCGTCAATTGTATCTAGCTTTCTTAAAAGTTTCTCTACATGTTTCACCAGCAGCCCGCGCAGTCGAAAAAATAGCATTTCCGCTTGTGGCGCTCCTGGATTTGTACAGATCTTGTAGATAGCACTACCGCGTAGCCATAATGTAAGCTTGATAGCCTCAATTTCGATGATTTGAGGCTACAAGATCTTCACGTACGAGTACATTTTAAGCCACTTATCATTTGTCAGTGTCTGCGGTGCACCAGTAATCAGCGACGCCAGTGGTAGCTGCATATCTCTCCATTCGTTCTCGAAATTTACCTTAATTCAACCAATAGATTCAAGAAGTTAGTTCAGTTGGACGATGGTGGTGCCTCCATCGCTTTTGTAATGCAGCGCAATGGTACAGAAATCTGACGCGTACCGCTGATGTTTTTAGCAGCGACATCTTCCACTTTGATATCAATCGCGTTCGATATGGCGGCGCCTCGCGTTCTCTTCAAGATCAGGTACAAACTAGTTATGCCAGCGCGGACTGGTATGTTGCAAATTGAAGGGGTTTCTTATTTTTCAATTTACAATACCCCTACATCAAATCTTAGAAATATCTTTATTAAAGCCTCAACAAATAAGGAGCTTGAAGTGTGAGCTGAATAACTAACTACCCAGTTACCCTTCAAAGTCATTTCGGATACTGAACAGGAACACTGAACACTTATCCACTTCACGGGCAGCTTGCGATTGTATAGTTCATGCAGATTATAAATAGGACCTGACTTCAATACCTAAATTGTACGCACAGAGCATTACAAGTCGCGTTTTTTTTTCGCTCAGTGTTGGAGCATGTAAAACCACAAGACTGTACAATCAATATGGCAATAAAAGGCAGCAAGAGCCTTCATTCTTAAGATAAACTTTGGTTAGACCTGTAGTAAGCTTGTTTTAGGTTTCTGCAGAATATCATCGAAAAAAACAATGAGCGCGGTGACAAATTTCACTTTGACAAAGTTTATAGGAGCTCGTCAAGCGGAAAGAATCTACCATGTAGCGGTCCAAATTCATGCGAAAGTTTGACAGTTTGTAAATCCACGTACCTTTTATCAAAGGCAAGCTTCTATATCGTGCTACGAATAGGGAATGGCCGTCATTGTCCATCATCCGAATAGAAACTCAACAGCATTGTGGCGAAAAAATTGTATTGAGAAGAGTTTTAGCGTAAAAATGATCAGGTATTTCAATATGTTTGAGACGCTTGTAAAGCTTCTGTTGTTGGAAAATTTCTACTTCTATCCAGCTGTCTTAACTTTCTTGGCAATAGGTTCCCAGCCGGAATTACGTCTCACGGCGTCTGTTGTTCGTATTTGGAGGCCTGAAACAAATGCTCGAGAACAAGTTTTAAAATCGCGTAATGTTCTCTGAGTGCAACATATAAACTGGAGGGTGCGAGCATGGTGCATTTTTGACTAATGTGGTATACTATGATAATTTACAGCATATGCGGTCCGTATTGAGATGATATAGCTATCATTCCATGACAATATTAAAAGGGTCCGTCAAAGCGAAATGAAACTTGGGAAACAGAGAGTGTCGGCTTGTTCTTATGAGAAAGAATTCTCTCGCGATACTGAAGCCCGTAGTTTAAAGGGGAACTAGAGCGAGAAAGAATAGGTTCTGGTGGCGTAGGAGGTTTGATTGACAATTTTTGGCTTGAATGACCAAGCATTAATCGATGAGCTGCCGCCACTTGCATCGGACCGGGAATTACCAATGGTTTTCTATCAGCTGCAGACAGCAACTTTCCTCTGTCCGTTCCAGCAAACCCAAAACAGTCTCGACCAAGATGCTCCTTTCTTTGCGCACCATTCAGTAGTGGAAGCGCCACTCCATCGCTGTCTAACTCGGGACGGCGATGCTGAAGAGGTGCCGAAAATCGTAATTGTAATTCGTCGATGTATTGCTGTGATGCAGCTAGCATTTTGCGATACTTCAAAGCTCGATCGGCGTCCGAAGAAGGTGGATAAAGACGGGCGAAATCAATCAACTTTTCTTCATCAAGTACATGTCCGACGTTTTGGTTTTGTTGCTGAGCATTGGTGGCTATTGAATCGATACTTGCAAAGTCGCGAATTCCTTTTCCATATTTTTGCTGAAGACTTCGATTCAATTCTTTTTGATTATCAGCATATTTGCTCATAATTGTGTCAAGATGGTGCAGTCGCTCCGAGTTGAAGTGAGCATAGTAGTCAGTTAACGCTTGACGAAGCTGTTCAGACTTTAATGGCAGCTGATTTTCCTTCTCTATTTTATTTGCAGCTTCGGATGTATCTTCCCTTTGCGAAGAAATAATTAATGGTGGCAAGCTATCGATTTGATTGTCCACTTTTGATGTAGCAGCAAATTTGCCAGTTGCGGCTCCCCCGTAAAGCCTGTGCTGGAGTTCACGAGCTTGCTCAGTTTCAAACCGCTTTTTAGCGCTAGATGTAATATTCAAAATGTCAAATGTCTGTGAAATGAGTGGCTCCTTCACACTCCAATCTAGGAGCGAGTCACAGCCAAAACTTGGCAAATGGTTAACCTCCAGTAGCCACGGTTTTAGTTTTTCATCGATGAGCACGTCCATTCCCAACAGAGCGAAGGAGCAGGACAGTGGTGCAGACGAGCTCGTTGAAAAAGGCTCGTTTATATGATTACCGGCATCATTTGCACTACCAGGACGAGTACTTTTCCCTCTATTTTCGACAACTTCATCTCCCTTGTCGCAAGCCCGAGGTCCGGATCTTGATGCTGAATTGGTGCGGCGCAAATTTTTTGAAAATGTTGATTTATACTCCTGTGCCAATGTAGGCTGCACAGACAAAATAGTCTTAAGACAGATATCACCGATTTGATCCCAGAGTCTATCCACCTTGTCGCTTGCTAATCTCTCTTTCAACCACGAAAAGAACCATTTTAATGATCGTTTGCTACCTGTACCTTCAGCATTATCTCCTTTATTTGTTTCAAAGTTGCTGGAATGCTTATTCACGGCATAATTGGTAAGGTGCATAAATCTTTGTTCAAGATTGTCTGCATTAGGAGTGACATAATCGGCCGTGCACATTCGTACCAATCCGTCATTAAAGATATACACGCGAAGCGGTGAGCACGACGTCACAAGTACATAAATACGTAGGTCAAACTTCTTGCCATCGATGAGCAAAGGTCGAGCTACATATTGTTGGGCTACTAGGACATCTCCACGCGGTATTTGTGCAAGATTGCGAGTCAAAAATACTCCACGACCTTGGCACATGTGGTCAGGTTTCACAATAAATGTGCGTTGGCTCAGTCCTTCCGCGTTGAAGTTCTGCTGAAAATCATATTTGTCGAACGGAAGGATCCATGTTCGAGGAACAAAGTTGAACTCATCTGGAAACAGTTTTTTCATACGCTCAAGGTTTCGAGCTAATTTAGACTTGCACGCCAAATTGGCCATTCCTGGAAAATGATTTACTTTTTGGTAAGGCAGTAGTCCCGTAAAGGTTGGGAGGATGTCAGGCACATCGATCCAGTGTACATTGCACGCGGACAGCTTGCTGTCAGGCCTTTCATCCGTCACAAGCTTCCAACCCCGAGCTCGAGCTACACGGCGCACAACTTCGTATCTACACAAAGTAACATTTATACGGACGCGCTTTTTATCTCGCTTCGTCATAGCACTGGCAAAGCAGCGACAGTTGCACAGTGCTACACAGAGCCTTTCCAACTTGACTTTTGTCCTATTTGTGGCACTCAAAACGTCAAAAATATATAAGAGCCCTGACGATGGGAGAAAATTTTTGGACAATGCAAGCATGCAGCGAGATGACTCTCGACTACAGAGAAGAATTAATGAACGTGGTGAAAAAATTCTTGTTCAAAGCTCCGCGAGGGATAATTTTGATGTAACCAACTTAGCTTTCCGCTGTGTCGTTGAGAAGTCTACTTTTGTAATCGAAATTCCCTATTACACGCATTGTTTTTAAGTAGAAATTGTTCGTCCCATCGGATGGAGATGACAGCCCGATCCATGCAAAGCGCGCTAAGGGCGTTGTGTCTTACTTCTTTAGATCCAAAGACCTTAAGTTGAGAGACGATGTGACTCAAATTCACAATGAAGTTATCCTTGAAACCTGATAATTGAAGCCATCAGCTGTGTTTCGTCGATGTCATTTGTCCAGGAAGTACGTAGAGCATCTAATTGTGAGAAAGTGATCTAACGGTTTTGCTTCAGTTCCAACTGTATGAATACAAGAAAAATCATCAGAGACCTTCAGAAGGCATTCGTGGTAAAGTAGAATGGAACTGAGCGACGTTGATTTTTTTGTTAAAGTCTGGCCTTACTGTCTGGTTTTTGGCTTGGTGTGCTTTACACTCATGCTTGGGTATCTAGCAATTCCTTCCCGTCAGGCTCGGGCTGTGATGCATTTGCCTAAACCTGCCGGATACTTGCCTATCTTAGGCAATACAGTGCTTGTGGCTCGCGTACAACTTTCGGGTCGTTTTCACGATTGGGCTTTGAACAATTGTCGTAAGTATAAAACCAAACCTTGGTGTATGCATATCCTCGGAAAGGCCCCAACCGTATTTGTATGTACACCGGAAGCGTTTGAAGATGTTCAGAAGACGCAATATGAGGCTTTTGGCAAAAATCCGCTCTTTGTCGAGGCAGCCACTGATGTACTCGGACAAGGATTGTTCGCAATTAGCGGACCGTTGTGGCACCATCAACGCAAAACTGCGAGTCGTTTGTTTTCAGCGCAAATGATCCAGCACAATATGAATAATGTGGTTTTGGAAAAGTGTAGAGGGCTAATGAAACGTCTGGATGCTGCAGCTCAAGATGATAACAAGTCTGTGAGTCTCAAATGGATCTTGGATTTATTCACAATGGATGTCTTTTGCCAAATCGGGTTTGGAATTGAGATGGATGGACTGGATAGAAAACAGATCATTGCGATGCTAGAAGCGCTCCAGAGGTCTTCAGCTCGTATTGTTGGACGTATTTTAGAACCCAGTTGGTGTTGGAAATTGCGCCGTTATGTCAACATTGGAGCTGAACGCCAATTTGCAACCGACATGAAGCGGGTGAATGGTATGCTGTACGGATTTATTGCACGTTCTATACAAGACAAAGCCAACCGGGATCTTAATGAAAATGAAAAGGGAAATGATACTTCTTGCATGGACCTCATTTCACTTTATTTAGAACAATGTGCCATTGACAATGGAAAAGATGTACCTTTTCAACCAAAAAAGTTACGAGATTTTCTCGTGAGTTTTCTTGCGGCCGGACAAGATACTACGGCAACTGCGATGTCGTGGTTTGTAGTGATGATGAATCGATATCCAAAGGTACTGGAAAAAGTGCGGCGCGAAATTCGGGCAAAGGTACCGGATCTTACAAATGGCAAACTAATAGTTCCAAGCCTAGAAGACACTAACCACCTAATTTATCTAGAAGCTGCAATCAGAGAGACTCTCCGTTTGTATCCAGTTGCCCCAATAAGTGGACGCACTGCGATACGAGATGTGACGATGTCGAATGGATTGTTTCTTGCCAAAGGCACTTCTGTCCATATGCCACACTATACTATGGCAAGAATGAAAAGTGTTTGGGGATCAGATGCTGAAAATTTCAAACCAGAGCGATGGATCGATCCCATGACCGAAAAATTGCTGGCAGTCTCGGCTTTCAAATTTTCGGCATTTTATGGTGGACCTCATTCGTGTTTGGGGATGAAATTTGCAATGTCTGAGATTAAAATCACCCTGGCTGCTTTGCTGAGTCGCTACGATTTCAAAACGACGAAAGATCCATTTGACTACACCTACCGAATGGCATTGTCGCTCGGAATCGATGGTGGCCTCGACGTTTATACGACTCGGTTAGATACATTGCGCTGAAGTTCAATCGTCGTCGATTTCAGTCCGTCGTAAGTAATAAAGATCGACATAAAAATTGCTTTGTAAATCTATCGCACAGCAACTAGACGTTTGCAAGATTTCTTTCATGCTTTATTAAATGAAAGGGAGAACTCGATCTATATATAATCAACGCGCAAAATTACTTTGGCTACAGCAAGGCATAACGTTCATGGGTCCAAGACTTTGGTCACACATGATATGAAACGATGAGCATGTAAAAATTTTGCTGAATTGCAGAGCAACAAATCAATTCCTTGCTAAGGTTGAGTCCGAACGACAAAATTGCTGGGGAAGGGGTGACGACAATTCTGCTTGCAGAAGGCACTTTACGTACCATTTTAAGATAGTTGATGTGCATGATGTATGCTCTCAGTGATTACGAGAAGAAAGATGCGCTTATAACAACTAACATGATATGATGTTTGATTACAGCTTTGGTCAATCAAAACGGACATTTTGTGTTACAACTGTCACATTCCGATGATACAAACGACAGTATGATACTGGACTCGATATCAGGGCCTGTTTTGTTCAGTACTATTGGTTGATTGGTGATGAGCGAGCAGAATGCTGTAAGCACTTCAATAGGATGCTATGAGAACGGCTTCTTATTTCCTCAGGTTGTTCAGAACGCCCCACCGATTTCAATGTTGATAGTCTCACATGTACTGAGGCCGTATCGCTCCCTTGCAACGAGTTATTCCGCTGAGTCCATAGACAGAAGATACAAACACGATCATTTCGGCCAGTTTCATCGGGATACATGCCGCTAGAAGTCGTGTGGTCAAGGCATGAGTCGCGGATATCAACATGAGAATATGACTAGAAAACCGTGTTTTAACAGCCGCAATTACCCCAAGTACGCCAAAAAGTACGCTGGATTGGTGTAATTGTCTCTTAATTACAAAGGATTGTGATTGAGCAATGGTGACCACCAAACTATTCAACCAAAGCGAGTATTTACGCGAATTTTATTTTTCGCTGTCGGGCCAGTCTCAAGCAAGCGTAATACCGTAGATTCTGCTATCAACGCCTAGGATTATCAATCATCAATCTGGATTGTTGAAGCCAACAAAGAAGTCTACAACAAAAAATTACCGGCCATGAAGTATGGGCTCTTTAAATAACGCGTGCATCTACTTGGTGGGCATCAATCCAGAGTTACATGGACCAATCGAAATGAAGTCACCGCTTCTACCTTAATAAGCTGTTCAATGGCTGTCACGTACACCATTATTGTACGTTGCTAGCCAAGAAATTATAACAATTCCGCTATCGCGCTTTTCGACATTAAAATTGTAGTTCAGAGCATTAAAAGATGCGCTTCTCACGCAACATTATCCCAGTTGCGTCAATCACGTTACGGTTGCTGCAGTGGGCGTATACTCATCACTCCTAGACATTCCATCGTTCATGCTATAAATTTTCGTTCTGCTGCGAGTTGACCATTTATTTCAGAGTCTAAGTCTGACCAACTCTCTTTGTATTCGTCGAAACCACTTGATGCATTATAGCATCGTATTTCTCGACACTTTACGCAACTTTTCCAGCCATGATGAGTAATAGATCGAACTGATTGAAAGGTCATCATGACGCCTAAATTGGTGGACACCTGGGTCGTGTGAATGTATGCCTTACACTGTCGCGTCATTGCTACTGGCCATACCAAAAAAAATTGGTACGGAATGGATCGTCAACGGCTGAAGCAAAACTAATTGTTTAATTTTTTTTTGCCAGTTTTACTTGATGTAAATGAGTTTGAAAGCTTTGACTCAGTCTTCTAAGTAACAAAAGATTTGGGTGGCCACGATTAACATCTTGTCTTTCCAAAATGATCTATCTCGGTGCAGTGAAGCAGCTCGTCACTCTTAAAATCGGCTGTCGTATTCATCGTTAGCGTATTTTGTCTCTTTGGTCTCCCAAACATACTCATATGGATCTTGTATCTACAATGCACATCATTAATGGCATGTGTTGTTCAATCCAAACCTCAGGTGTCGATAATTACACTATTGGAGAGACAAAAAAGTACCAGCCTTGTCCTTGGAGATATCTGGCATGCGTAATTCTGTCTGTAAATCCAGTTTTTTCACTTGTCAAATTTGCGCTGACAACCCAGTTTGTGTTTCGTAGTCATATCTTGGTAAGCTATAAAGATACCCTCAACGTCATTCACTAAAAGAATTATAGCTCCAGCCCAGATTTGTTGGATTTGTTGGTCGTCAACATCAACGTTGTTGCCTTTGCTGGATGGTTTTAAAATGAGTGTCGACACCTTTGCCAAAACAAGCGGAACATACACCATATACTTCCCAACTTGTCGCTGGTAAAAAAGGTCGTATCTCCCTAGAATGCTACAACTGATGATCAGAATGAATCACAACCACTAGTACTCTCAACAAAGCACATTATTTCGATATTGACTTCAAAACGGACGATTGAGACATTTAAACTATTCTTGATGTTCCAATTACCACTAATGATGTGTCTATGAATACGAACAGAATGATTTTATACTTTGTTACCCTCTACAACAAGAACGACGAAAGCATCAGATTTTGGCTTTGACGCAATCCTAAACTTAGAAAAGTTGTCGCCAGGCAGCTCGTCAGATAACATCGAAGATATTTTTTTGGTATTTGTAATATGAGTGCGACCGACAAAAGGCATTGGCATATTCTCGAATGGTCTAAAGTTTAACATTGGTGAGCGTGCTGGCAGTTTTTTATTGGTTCTGAGTTGTGAAGTTTAGCCCTACTATAAGCACTTGACCTGCTCTATGTACTTTTATCACCAATGCACATCGCACGCAAAACCTCATGCTCCTGATAAAAATGTATCATCAAAGGGTACATCAGATGCTGAAAACGAGCGTAGTTGACGCGACCATCACCACTTGGGTCTGCCAGTACACCTGACTGAATCCTCTCCGCTTTACTTTCAAATGGAAAGTCGTGAGTGTGGCTAAGGTGTTCAAGAGCAGTATAAAAATCTCTCATAGGTATGACGCCAAGCTGCAAGGTATCATATTGTGCAAAAGAGCCGTAACTTGCTTGTCTGACGACACCTTCACAAGGAAGATTCACCTTTTTGATGTTCAAAATGTTCACGTCATGAAGTAGTTTGGCTTTTTTCTTTAAGAAAGTCGCGTCGACTAGCTCATGCAGCTGCTGTGCCATGCGTGGAATAAGCTTGAGGTAATTTACCATATGATCTGGTTCGTCAGCCCGCTCTTGAGTCAACGCAACAAGCTGCATCTTTTGAATTGGTGATAATAACAACTTTTGCATATCTCTCACAGCTCTTTTCACCTCTTTCTGCGTCAAACGTTTTTTTAAATGCTTTGACGTACCCTCCAGATTGTGCTTCTCACAAGTTTCAAATTGGTCCAGTATGTACTTTTCAATTCGATCAACGAAGCACTTGCGCTGATAGTCAAATATCATGCGACGTACTCGACGAATCAACAATATCAGTTCTTCACATAAAACCTCCTCCACTCCCAAGGTATTGGTTTCCGTCTTAACCAGAGCTACGATAAGGTTAATTTCTGCATTACTGAGCAAAAGCTGTGGAGTTTCTAGGATAGAACGCAGCTGATGTCGTGACATACGGATACCCTGTTTGAAGGAGGCCCGACGACTACCAGCAGAATGAGAGCATCTCTGGTCATCATCAAGAATATTTTTCATGGTCGATGCAAGACCTGAATTTAGGTTTAAGTCTTTCTCCTCGTTTTTTTGTTTATTTTTCTCAACGACGGCAGTTGAATCCGTTTCAGCTGTAGCCCAATGTACAGCCATTGCGTTCTCTACATCAGCAGTACGCTCTACATGCGCATCTATTAGAGCAGTCAGTTTTTCAATAGTATAGTGAGTTTGGCGAGCTGACACGATCTCAAATTGATCGAGCCATTCATCCTCTGTTAAGATTTCTTCGTCATATTTATCATCAGGTCCGACAATAACATCGATCATGTCTGCAGCTACCGAAACAAATTCTCCGTACGACACCATGCCATCGCGATTAGCAGCAACAAGTGCCAACAACACTTCACGTGAAACCACGCGTGAACTAAGCTCCACTGAATTTAAGGTCTCACGGAAAACTTCAAACGGGAGATAACCATCACTATAAAAATCCCTGTGCTGCATTTGTTCGAGCAGATATTCTTCTGTTGCGTCTCGATCAAGCTTACGCTGTTCCTCTTTGCGTTTGCAAATGACTGCCGGTACCCGCGTGGCGACAAACTCGTCACTGAGATCAACTAATTGTGCTGCTCGCAACTGCATCTTACGACGGATAATGCGATCTAGTATTGCTTCATTAAATCTAATGGTCTCAAGATTGTGAAAATGCAAGTCTTGTTCAACCGTAAAGCCACAAACTCGCTGAAGATCGATACTGAGATAAAAGTATAGTCTGGCCACAGCCTCAGCGGCAGGTGTCTGAAGCGTGGGTTTGCTAAAGGTTGCTATGATTTGAGGCTTGCCGTCTCGGCCACTGGTGATTGCTGCCACGCTGAATTTGTACGAGAGGCGTCCGCATGCTACCCATTGTGAAAGCAATGTAGTCAGCAAGTGTAGAGATTTGCTTGTATCGATCATTGATTATTGACATCTAGCTTATCCTTCAAAGCTCGATATGCTATGTATAGACCGACTCCTTGGATAAAACTGATGACTTGAGACAGAGCTTGCACCTTATACACAGTTCTCAAATCACGAAAGTACCTTGATTATGTGCTATCAAGTGGAGTATAATAATGGGATTGCGACCATATCTCGTAAAATATGTGACCGTTCAAGATCTTTCAAAGTGATACTTGGACAGATGTTTTCGAATCAGGACGATAATTGAAAAGTTATTGCTATTACCGAAATCTTAGCTTTAAGACAGTATAGCCTTGATCCTCGGCACAGCAGCTTGCTTACTCGACCAAAAGCTGTATATATGGAGAAGGGAGCAAAATAAGCTACAACTCTCTCTTGGTATGATAAGGAATGAAATTGCAGCGCCAACATCTTTCAAGAAAATCAACTCCAAGCATTTGCCTTAAAGCTGTTGAATGGTATACGATTGAACATTGAATTCAACAGCTGCGCTAGATACAAAAGAGAATCATTTGCCAGACTGACGAAGAGCACAAGTAGGCATCAAAGTGTAACTTCCTTTAATACAAAGATTATGTGGGTATCAATGACTAGTTATGATAAAAGCACGATTCATTATCACGAAAACAAACAAAGACTTCTGCGTGTTTGTAGGTTCCGCGGAAAGTAAAAACAAACAGCTAGATAAGATCTGTAGCTCACTCCGATGCTGTTATATACCATTGAGACTGATTAGCGAAAGTGTACAACATTGAGAGCTTTTGACTCACAACATGCTGGTCAGTGTGCTGGATAATTATAAAAAGGTGTTTGAGGCAATACGATCTCGCTATAATTTCTCATTGCATTCTGGCTTGACTATCAGCTTTTAAAAGGATCGGATATGCTCCATAATGTATGCAATCATTACCGTATATGCATGGCAAATCACGACAGCTGCCATTTAGTCCTTCCCGCCGCGATCCTGTCAAAGATCTCATCTTGTCAAGTTATTTAATGAGAGACATTGAGGCCACGGGCTTTCACCAAGGTGTCGATAGTGTTAAGGATTCTCTTCGTTCGAGCGCAAGGGTGAGCAACTTTTTGAAAACAGTCAATATCGTATCCTCCGTGTGTATCTGCCCACCATTATATTAAAAAAATAAATGGCTACGCTCCTTTCTCACAGAGTCAAAAGCATTTCATTTTGAGAAAGCAATACAGTATACCCAGCATTGTACCCCGCGCGTTATTTGACCACTTTTAATTATTACAAATACCAGCTGTTGTAATATTCATGGTAACCCCTGACCCCGAACCGACGTCGAGTCTTTTTAGCTATTTTGCTTAAGTGTCGTCATGGCACCAACGCTTTCAATTGAATCTTACAAGCTCAAACAAAAAGTGGATGCAGTTAAAGCGCGAAATTGTCGAGTAGCTTCTGCCACTTTGAAATCAAAAGATTCTTATACCACGAATCAGCGACAGTATCTCAATGCTTGCATCGAAGCAAACGCAGATCCAGATCCAAAGTTATTGTCAGCTTTGCAAAAGGCGCAATTTGTTCTCAAAATTGATCGATTTGGAAAAGACGAGGTGAAATCTTGTGCTAATAATGATATTGTCGTCCAAGTTCTCATGGCGTCGCAATAGCTTGCTTTCAACATGAAGTTCCTTCAGAGGACGAAAAATTGGTCAGAGATAAGACTTTCGCTTGGCTCTGTGGCGACAAGTCGGAGTACGATGCAATCAATGACTGTGGATGTCAGTTATTGTAACTATTTCAGTGTAAATGTGTAGGCTTAAGGACTAAATTTGATCGTTTGGGCCTTAGCAGAGCGTACGCGTATGAAAAGGAAGGGGCAGCACTCGTTGTGAGGTAAGGATATGCTACTTTGCATATTCAGGAGTTAACATTTATCTGATCATGTTCACTAGGTCTGCCTGTGCATCAGCCTATAAAACATCATCTTTGATGCGCTTTCACCTTATTGGTGTAAGGATATCTCCTGCGGTTGTGTCACTTTTGTCCAACGTAAGATATACAAATCATTCATACATCATGCGCCTAAAACTATCTTGCTTTTCTCGCAAGGCTTTTGAGCACTGTCGCCAAATTGAAGACATAAGCTTGAGCGGCTCAAACATAAGTGATAAAGGGTTAGAAGGTACAACTTAAATTATATCTCCATGGATCTATGTTTATCAGGTCACCAGTGCTACTTGTTTTATAATGTTACACAGCTATAGCAATCGCGATCGGAAGGTGTCCAAAATTAAAGATGATTTCCTTGGCTGGCTGCAGTCTTACCAACAATTCTAAGGAACCTATCACCAAAATTATCGCTGTACGAACAATATAAGTGTTCAATGTTTACGCTTGCTTATCATATATGGTGCAATGAATATGGGATGTGTCAGCTTCACGGTGTTATCAAAGACGAAGCAGAATGGAGCTCAAGCTTACGCAATCAAATGATTCCTGCTGTATCATCACCCGACCTGCTACTAGATTTATCTCGCAACGATCTTGGTGATGAAACTGCTGAAGCAATATGCGACGGACTTTCTAGCGACAAGTGGTTGCTTGGTAAGGCTACTACTTGCAACATTATAGGCAAGTACCTTACAGCTTTCGCATGATCGGGATCCAAATCTAGGCCTAAATCTTGGAGCAAACAATCTGTCACAGAACGGAATGGAAGTGTTTAATGAAACCTTGAAAAAGCGCAACCACACACTTGCTGTCCTTGCTCTGAAAGAAATGAAGGAGCCAGGTAGCGCTTTGACTCAGAAGTGTGATCTTTTATACAAAAGCTAACAGAGTGTGCGCTGAATGGCATGTAGTGAGAGCAAACACAATCACTGAATTCAAAGCAATTTTGTACGACCGCAATCGCTATCTTCAACAAGTTGCCATGGAATCGCGTGAAAGACGTATGACGCTAGGAGCTTTGTTACTGGATTGGGGGGTCGACAAAGACACGATTATTGAAGTCTGTTATCTTGAGGCACCAAATCAGGAGTTTCGAACACAAAGATTCGCTCCTAAGATGGCGTTTAAGAAATACAATTTAGTCTCTCCAAAAGACAAGGTGGATCGCGGTTGTCCCCGATCCTTTGTTGGCAACCACAACAACACATGTGTATCGTTAAATGACAGTAGCAATCAAATCGAGGCAGAAGAGAATAGTAATGATGGAGCCGCTTGTACGTCCCAAAGTCATGTAAATACGGTGCGTGTAGTTAAAACGGTTGGGAACAAGCATGAAAATATCTCAATTGAGCGTTTAATTTGACAGATAGAGTATCTAATCGAGCGATTGAGTTCTCTTGAAAATGAGAAAAGAAAAATGCACAAATACGTTATTAAGATCGAGGTACGCTTATTTGTGGCGTGGTCATCAGCATAGTGACTGATTTGATCTGTTATAGACCGAAAATGAACAGCTTCGAGCAAAGCTGGAAACTCGAACCAATGCAATGCCAGAACCAGGCATATCAACGATCGAAGCACAAATCATTGCGCAGCTCGAGAACTCGATTAGCTCTCTTGCCGAACAAGTTGAATTGATAGAATACAAACAGCAGAAGTAGCTGCTCAGACAAGCAAAATTCTGGATCATAGAAAACCTTGCTTACGAATTTGATCCTTTTGTGCACATCAGGAAGCATGCTACCTTGTTAAAATGCTTAGAGAACATTAAAGATATAAAACTGACTTTTACACAAAGTCACGGCTCTGCAATCATGTCTTGTCTGATACTTTGCACGATATATATATATAAGGGCTTAGTCGCGCCAAAGGCTTCGGCCAAGGCTTTATTTAGTGCAATAAAGCTTTCGAACTCTTGTAATAATCCGGCAAAGAGTAAGCACTTGATCTAAAAACAAGGCTACGAACGACATTGAGAGTTAGATCGAGCGCACCATTTAAGATTCAAAATTCGTGGCAATTGTTGTTAATTCGCCGATTCAAAATATAGATCGAAGGTAGTACGCGGGTGAGTGGCATGACATGAGCTATTAGTTTCGCATTTTGTCACCCAGAGCTGCCTAAGATAACAAAACTTGCCTCGTTATACTAAACATACACGTTTTACCATTTTATGAAATAAAAGTGTTTGTATTATTCTACCGATATGCAGTGTGCAAGATGGAATTTCGTACAATTGTATAGTATTGTATTCGATACACTGCTCCAAAGGTACAATGGGGTGCACAAGATTATCGTACTTTCCCCATACACTCGCGAAATCGAGAACGTCTAAACTAAGTATTCAGGTTGTTGATTTGCTCGAGAGCAAAACTGAATTCTGTTTGAGTTTCATGATTTTGTAACAATCTGCATATTGCATGCCTGGAATATATATTTTTGTATAATCTGCTTTAGTGGTGCAAAATGCATTTTTTGTGCAATTATATATGTCACAATTTCCTTTTTTGAACAAACATAATATGGCCGTATACAACACCCCGATCGCCTTATTCGCTGAACAAAATGTTATTTCTTACATAGATTCGATAAATTCTATTTTTGCAAATAACAATTTTTATCAAATTTGTTTGTGTGAAAACCCATCACTGGTCAGAATCCCCCATCCCTAAAATAAAATCGTCATGAGGGTTTCAGCTGATACAAAAGGAAGATGGGGCAAGTACTGCTGCTTTCCCTTGAGCAACTCATTTCCGATTAACTAATAGCCTTGTCTAACTAATAAACATTTGTTCCACAAAATGTGACCAAGTACCGACTCACAAAACCTTGGATAACTCATAACCGTGAGTAGCTCGTAACTACTTTTCCACGACAATTTATTAGTTATCCGAGGGACGACTGACTATATTCTGGAAGAAAGATGGGCAACTCAATAATTACATATTAAGTCTCTCTTAATTTTTCAAACATCACTAAATATATTAACAAGCGTACCAGAAAACTTTCAAGTCAACTAATTATATACATGTATAGTATAAAATTTTATTTTTTTTTCACCATCAACAATTATAAGAAAGGACCCATAATAAATTCAGACATAAGAGCTCCAAATAGTATCTTGATGACGATTGTACAGCAGGGCGAGAAACGGTCAATTTTCGTTTGACGTGAATCTACGAACCAGAGAGATGAAGCTGTACCAAGGTCTTTTGGCTGCTGCCTTATTGTTGTCGAGGATTGAAGCTTCTTACTCGATTGACAAAGAGCAGGCAAAGAACGCTAATGACGCCCCCACGGCACCAAATGTACGAGTCCACTTTCCTACAATGGAAGAAAGGATTAACTGGTTCGACCCCATTGAGGACGTTACTGAGCGAATGGAGAAGGTTATTGAAAGCACCCGAGCGGATAATCGGCTAGTAATAAAAGATCAGATGCCAGAAAAACTGGCCAAACTTCGTGAGAACTATCAGCGTTGGAAAGCGGAGCTAGATAACAAGCCAGCTGAACTTCAGCTGAAACCACATGGCGAGGGAAATCAGCAGGCTCGCGCTTCTAAAGCATTCGGGCGGAGTCAGATCTATTATGACGAACACCTTATTAATCTACAATATAATTACGACCTCGCAAATCTGAACTTGATTTATGCTGCCCAACACGAAAAATTGCTGGGAGATTTACCACGACGGTCGAATATTGTTACTCAAACCGTAGCACTGGTGAAGTATGTAAAGAAATGTCAGACGCTCACCACCAAATTCGAATTTGACAAGGATATTCTCGATGCAAAACTCCGATACAATAAGGAGAATCTTGATAGAAGTCATCTTGATGAGCTAACAAAAGTAATGAATCCCACGGTTGATTCTCGCTCTCCCCAAGATTTACTCAAGGAAGCATGCCTCAAGCTCAAATATAAACCAGTCGTCAAACCCCAAATCGATTGGAAGATGGTGTTTGGATCTCCAGAATACCGTGTTCTCTATGAGTACGCTGAACTTCTCGCGCATAGCAAAGTTGTTGATACCAAACTGACTCCTCTTACTCCAGCTAAACTGATGAATGATATGTTATTGGGGCAGCTTGGTATAACTGGTATAAGATCTAACTCAATACCAGAGTCGTACAAACATGTTGCTATGGCAACTCTCGCTGATTATCGCTTGGTACATCCGAACGAAGAAGCCATGACACGGTTGAAGCTAGTGGAGTGAGTTGACACAGTAATGCAAACTTAGTTAAGTTTGGAAGATACCAAAAATTAAAAAAACTGACCATTGAAAGCTTGCATAATCAATTTGAGTGCAGCGCAGACTGCGTAAATTCTGCCACGCATTTTTCCATTTCTTTCTCCCGTCTGGCTTTATGGGATTAAGCCCATGAACCGTGCAAAGTCTCATTGTCTTATAACGCTGAACAACGGTCGAAAGATCATGCATGTTGACCCTATCAGCAAGCTGGTAACCTTTGTGAGATGCTAGTGCTGTGATTATTTTGAAAAAGAGCGATGGCTGAAAAACAACGCACCCAATTACAACCGTTCAAAATCGAAACATGGGAAACATTTCGTCTTGAGCAGTAAGAAAATCACCATCGAAGCCAGCATCATGAGCATTGGACTATTTGCCAAGCTCTTGACACGATTCTCAAGAAGGCGTTGTACGAAGTTGCCAACAACCTAAAATCAAATTTTGTTTCTCAAATGAATTTGTAAGATGGGACATTTGAGCAAGACGTTTCGGATGTTTACAATCCGGATGACCACAACAAAATTTCCATTCGTAAATACCGTCGCTGCTTCAATCGACTGATTCAGCTAGTCAAACCAATTCTTCTTAGATCACAACGATACAAACGTTTTGCAGTGTCAGCTTCTGCCTAAACCAGTCGCTTATGCTTTGTCCTTTATCACTGTGCTACAATCAACAAAAGATACATAATGTGGTCGAACCATTGAGTCCGTATTCCATACAATAATATTAATGAAATTTTGCTTGGATAGTTGTAGCGGAGAACTTGTCCATCATCCATGAACCGTCAGAAGATTTGCGGAGTACGCATGTCACTGCTGTTCCTGTGTTTAGAAAAATAGAGTAATCAATACTTTTGGTTTTACTGTGCGTGTTTTGAATTGCATCTGTCCGAACAGGATCAAGATTGATTGGTATGCATCGGGTGGTACCAATGTGATGACTGGATGAATTGGTGGCAGTCATTAAGAAGCTTCAAATGTTAATTTTTTGTTTGTATTTGTGTGAATGCCCAACACTGGCAGAACTAATATATTCGGTTATATTTGTATAAAAAATCATCCCAGTTTCAACTGATACTACCGCTCTATATATAAATTTATAAGTGATTTTTACTGACCTGGTAATTTATGTCAATACTATAAGTAAATACTAGCAATTTATTTACGTTTTAATATATTTGGAAATAAATTAATTGATCAAGTTCTTTTTCGGTAGAACGAATGTAATACTTCTATTATCGATCGAAATCGCAATTGCCGAAAACGAAGTGTCGTACACAATTGAACAATACGTATACATTTACAATAGGTGGAAAATAGACTCCTTGTGTAGAATATTTCCAGTAGTTGAATAATTGGGTCTGTATTCCAGACAATGGTGTCAAATTTGCTTCATATATGACATTTTGATGCCTTTAGAAAAATTGCGCTATTTTAATTGCTCTCGACTCATTAACATAATTGTGTTTATTCGATTTCACTTCGACGATCGCCTTCACAACATGCATATCGCTGCTATTCTTGTGTTTAGATAAATACAACAAGTTATACTTTTGATCTTACTGTGTGGTGCATTTTTGTGAGCAAGTTACACAGACCAGTACTGCTGAGGGAAGGTAGTAGTTGGTTTACCAACCAAATTGTATAATTTTTATGGATAAATGTAATAAAACGGTCAAATCTGTTACTTATCAGACTTTATTTAATTTCATTTTCTTGAAATAAATAGGGAGAATTTCATGGGTGTTGTTGAACTTTTCACTTCAGGTTTTACCATCAAAATCAACAGATAAAGTGCTGCGACCAAACCTTCCTTCTTCATGACGTCCATACCCGTGACGGCAAACAGACGCATAGGAGCCCTCTTGGGAAGCACCACTGGAAGTTCAGTATGATGATGACTCTGGCAAGGAAGATTTTTCTATGGCATGTCATGGCCGTCAAGGACGAGACCGATATCACTTAGACGTGGCTAATGAACGACGCCAAGGTATTGGTGATCATTGCGCAAGGCGTAACAAATTAACATATGACCAAGATACGGCCGGCCATGATTGTTATGGAGGCATGTGGAACGGTACGTGATTTTTACAATCGCTCGACGATGCATAATTGTGTGACGATGACGCGACGACTTTACGACTTCATCTGACGTCGGAATCTAAAAATTCTAATCGGATCCCATCGATTGTGAGGAATAGAAGGGACATCACATTGATTGAAGTGAACTGCTTGAGGAATCAGGGAAGCTGCGCGGAATAAAGGTTACGGAGAAAGCGTCTCGCGTAAATGGGAATGCTGGAAGATTTAAAGGTGGACAAGGAAACGTTCGAAAAGGTGGCACTCAGCGCAATTACGGCGGATTTAAGGGCAAATGCTTTAATTGTGACCAAGCTAGTCATGTGAAGCAGAACTGTCCGGACGGGAGGCGCATTAGTTATAATTACGCGATATTTGCAGTGGGCGGAAGACGATCCGTGGGGTGGCTTATCAACATCAGAGCAACATTTGCAGATGGCGAAAGTTACTCGTTAAAGGAGCCGGTACAATGAAATTGACCGGTTTGGGTGGAAGGGAGATTCACATGATTGATGTTATATATCCCAGGACATGACAAAAGATTATTGCCGGCTGGCAAGCTTGCAAATGGCTGTTTGGGGAGTTCAAATTTGTGCGTCATCTGGAAAAAGAGGAGGCGATTGCATCACACAATGGTGTGGCTACACCGCAACAAGAAGCCACTACTGCCAATAGTTGTGCATATTGACTAGATTTTACTATTTTAAAGGAGAACCTAAGATTTAAGATATAAGCGGCTCTGTCGCAAATAAAACAGTTGGATACAGTTTCAATTTTGAATGGAAGAAAATCTTTGCCTTGGTTAGATATTAAGTACTCTTGGAAGTAGCAGATTGCGATCCGATACACTTGTACTGGTTCTTGTATAGAACGTAAGGTCGGTGATCTTATTAAGCTTCCTCTAAGTAAAGAGCTGCAGAAGCCCTGCTGCAACACGTGTTCTAGAGTGTGTGCTTACAGATATAAGGCGTTTAATGCGAACTTCGTCGAAGGGAGGTGCAAAATATATTCTCACTTTTATGGGTAATTTTCCAAGATATGTTGCGACTTCCTTAATTCAGAGCAATAACGAAGTATCTGGCAAGTTCTTAATCAAGAGCATAAACTAAGAATCTGGCAAGTTCAAGGAATTCAAGACTCTTTGTGAAAAGTGATGGGCTGTACTTCTCAAATGCTAAAGATCCGAAAACGGGGAATAGTTTGTGAATAAAACGATGGTAGAGATATGGCGTCGTCCACTATCGCTTCGTTCCATATAGCCCTTAGCAAAACGAAGTGGTGGCGCGCATGAGAAGGGATATCGTAGAAAAAGCCCGCAGTTTGCTGTACTACAAGATTATTCAACGAAAAGGTGAGCGAAAATAGCAAACACGGCACTTTTTTTATAATCCCTCTAAGAATACAGCCCGTCGCAGGGTTTTGCTTGTGTTGACGATTCACAGAAATCAAAATTCGAACTATTTTTCGACTATGCTGAAATCGTCTAGGGCTATCGCGTATTCGACTTGGCGAATGCCAAGGTTGAAGTGACCCGCTCTATGAGGTTGGAGAGTGTGAAATAGGCAGCATTTACAACGCGCATGCACTACAGCTAGAAGCACCTTCCAGGTCATATAGAACAATGATGAAAATTATGTTCAAAACCAAGCGGATTGACAGCCACCTTGGGTTGAAACTATAAAAATGTCTAAGAACTAATCTTAGACGTCAAAATGGATGATGTTGAGCGTACACCAAGTGTCAGCATACAGCAACTGAATCCTTCCGAGCGTTCTAATGAATAACGGTTGGAGCTAGCAAACTATCGTTCATCTCTCATTATACGCATCAAGAAATCGTTTGGAGTTTTGGTATGAAGTAGTGCGAACAAGACGAAGACATAAACCGACGTTATGCCACAGAATGGCTCAAAAGATGAAGAGGCAATGGAAGGAAGTGATGGCTCACCGACACCAAAATGTGCTAAGAGAGGAGAACGAAGTCATTGCCAAAGCAGTCCTTGCGTACATGATGCACGCGACGATGAAGCGAAGTGGTGTGATACTATCAAAAGCTAAGGTTTGCTCTCATGAGCAGGACAGAATATGAATAACAAAGCCAAGAGGGAAAGCAATTGCCCAAATTGGATGACGATAGGTCTTTGCCAAGAAGCGCGATAACTATAGCACTATTGTGTACTTGTGCACTATTGTGGTACATGGCACAACCTGGCGCGAAAGGTTTCAGGCAAAAGTATGGAGTTTATTTCATCGAGACTTACTTCTGGTCGCCAACATGAAAAAAGTCTGGATAATACTTGCAGTTTGTGTCGAGCGCGACTACCAAATGGAACAGCTAGATGCCGTTACTGCTTTTCTGAATAGTGTGCCTACGGATAACGCTTATATAGAAGTTCTGCTGGATGAAGATACTTCTCACGGATATGCAACGCATTTGGAATATGCTATATACGTGTTGAAACAAGCAGCAAGTGCCTGAAACAAGTAGACAATAATATTGAGGGTTTTGGGGGATGGGCAGTATGTTTATGCAAAGCAATCATTGGAAGGTTTCGTCTACGTTGGATTATATGTGGATGGCATGATTGCCGCAGCAAAACACGCAGGGAGATCAATCAAATCGACGAAGCGCCCAAAAAAGCCGTTGTGAAGGAGCTGGGCAAGGAAGAAATCAATTTGGGCATGGAGACTGATTACGACAGATCAGCCATGACACTTCTGGACAAGCAGACTTGCTACATTGATGATGTGGTCAGACAAAAGGGCTAACAAAGTTCCAAGAGTGTTCACAGCCTGTGCGCATCAGGATTAAAGTTGCCGTCAACGGGACCGCCAAAAACAGAATAAGGTCGCTTGGCGACGCGCTCAAAACCGTATCGATCCTTGAATTTATGCCTGCTGAATTTATGAAGCGAAGATTCTGTGGGAGACATATAATGTACACCAAGTTCTTGAACTTTATTTCAGGTGCTGAGAATGTATGTCAATCGTCAATTGGTCGAGACAAAACACGTTGACTGCGTCATGGTGCATATCATCTGAAATTTTTGCGCGGGGAGCCTGCAGCGCTGGAGCAAATTGCTCCCACTCATTGGGTTTGCGCTGATTAATGCAGTACATGTTTCACAACACTCTTTTTGACTCTGTAGAAATTAGTTGAGAGACAGCAAAATATTGGACCGTCCATGGTCATATCGTAAGGAGACGTTTAGTAATGCTTTAAGGTCTCGAAGAGAATGAAGGCATATCTTGTGATCAACGTGGGCTAATTAAAGCCAATTTGGGTTACGCTCGTACGAGCCAATCGGTTTTTAACTGCTTTGCTGCAGATAAAGCAGTTTTTCTAACTGTCCACTGTAAACTGAGCAACCCTCTTCTTTAGAGTAGCTACGCCCTTCTTATCTGCGGGGATCGCATCCAGTCACGCAGTACGATGGCAAAGCTTACACAGATCATTCAGATTATGTCCCATCTCACTTTCCAACTCATGATGAGACTCTTTGCAAGATCTGACGGGCCGCCATAACTTGAGAGGGCTGATGTATGCCAGCTGCGGGATGATTGCTCTCCGTCACACTGCTCAATGATCAAATAGCGACCCACTTTCACGTGATAAGTTGGTAGGTCGGAAGTAAACTATCGTCATAACTAGTATCAGGTGAGCTAAGAGGATTGCTTTTAAATTCATGGCGATTTACATCCACATCTGCAAAATTCCGTGGCGCCGTTGCCTCTTACGATCTGGTCTAATCTCAACCTTATCTACCTAGGAGGCGAGGCAAGGGAGCATGTCGCAGAGCGCTTCGCACATGTGAGGAGAAAGCAACCTTGCGGTAGCTCGATAAAATCATAAATGCTACCTCTTGGAAATGAATAGGGCTGTCAA